CGCTCGTTGTTATCGGTGCTGAGAAGCCCAAGAGCGAGAGAGAGAAAGAGAGAGAGAGAGAGAGAGAGAGAGAGAGAGAGAGAGAGAGAGAGGGAGAGAGAGAGAGAAACTATAGCTAGTAGACCAGCACTCAACAGATCATAAACCAATAGGGCTTCATACCGATTGACCGACGCGACGGACCGGTTTATAAATCGCCGTGTTTTATTTGCAACATGACCAAATGTCACTGATTAACTGCTGACAAATTTAAGAGATAAGATATTTATTAACATTTCCAACCGAGTTTATAATTTCACTTTAAATTTGATCAAACCTACTCGTACCAATTACCTACCCATGACATTGGAAAAAATGGGTTCATTGCGATACTAGAATGAGCTAATTGACCACAAATCTAATCTTGTTTCCAACGTGTTGATCGTACATTAAATGCTGCATCGGAACCTGTTTCGCTACTCTGTATCTTACATAAATCCACCCGTAGTTAGGGTGGTGACGTCATCAATCCGGCTCGGTGTCCAGCGGCCCGCACTCCCTTCACACCGCGCCGGCCGCCATTTGCGGGCGCCCCCGCGCCGAGCGGGCCGGCCGGCGTCTGTGCGCCGCCGCCTGGCCGGAGCGTCCCCTCCCCCCTGCGTGTCCTTCCCCCACTACGCATTCCGAGGGGTGAATCGGCGCGGCGGCTGGCCGTCAAAACATGGGACCGGCAGCGCGGCCGCCGAGCGAGAGACGGTCACTGGGGCGCTGGAGCCCATTACTTGTCAGTGAGGAGCACTATCCTTTGTCGGCTGTTGGTGATCGCAATTGCTATCAGTGACCTAATTAAGTCATACGTCATAATCGTTCGTGGCATGAAAAGATGATTTAAATCGTATGCAAGAACAGCAACACGATAAATGTCAGATGCACGCTAGCCGAAGTAAATAATTTAACATTTATATTCCTGTGAGAGAATAGTACCGATGTTCATTGTAACAGATAAGAGTCGTTTCCATTTCATTAAATCCTAGTTATTTCTACATAAATGGACGATAGCATTTGATGTTAAGCTAAAGGAGAACAACAACAACAAAACATATTTATATTTTCGGGAGCGAAGAATAATCACACTTGGATGTGTTAAATTAACCAGCAACCTTTTAAGGACAAAATCATGGACTTATCAGCCTGCGTGCCAAATTCTATAGTCGGTTGCTAAGGATAAGAAATAAACAAATAGCTCAGGCCTAGAAAGAGCTGATGAATGGGTCTCGCTCTCAAATGTTTGCCGGGAATAACTCGATGAACATGCTGAAAGTTCCTAATGAATATCGTCGTCAATATGTACCAAAGATAGTGGAAAACTTATTTTCCTATCAAATGTTTCTGGATGAAAAAAAGCATTTAACCCTCGCATGTGTGCGGCGTTTTCCAGCTTCTAATGTGTAGGGGGGGGGGGTCGGTTGGACCCCCCCTTGCCGTTTGGCCCCTGATCGAGCTAGAGCTTCGCGGAAAAAACGAGCGTGTTGCCCGTGACGAGAGGAAGCCGATGATACCCAATTTTAAGGTCCTAGGTCATTGGTTGACCTTCCAGGTCAGGTCAATGACCCAAAGTCGGGAAAATCGGGACCTGTTAAAAAGTCGTAAAGTGTGGCTGCTAAGGGGTTTTTCGGGGTGCTGATCACGAATATCGTGTTAGTTTTGATCACAGATGATGTCTTGAAGCATTTAGACCAGGTCGGGTCAGGTCAGGTCAGGTCAACCAGTAGGCGTCGTGACGGGTATTCGTAGTACGTGTCAACCGCCTCTGACAGCTTCGTAACATGTTACGAAGTCACCAAAACTACTTCGTAAATGTTCAAATGGTTGCTAAATTCGAATTCAGCTCCAAAAACTAGCCTAGAAACATGTAAAACTCGAAAAAGTGACCCGAGGTCACCCGAGGTCACCAAAGGTCAATGACCTGACCTGACCTTCAGGTGACCTTGACACACACGGGAGTAACATCAAATCACATGTTTGAACGTTTGAAACCACGAAAAGCTTGCAAACACGCGGCTAGTGCGAGCCGACATACGCGAAATCGCGATTACGGCCAAACATGGTCTCGGAAAAGAGGTCACAGGTCAAAGGTCATTTGGGTCAGGGTCATGAAATTTTCAGGGTAGGTGTAAAATTGATCATTGCGAGGGTACTGAAAGTTTCGTCGCGATCGGCCGCTTTTTACGCGAGTTATTCGCGAAAAACCATGGGGGGGGGGTCCATCCGACCCGATTCCCGGATGAAAAGTCAAAACGTTAAAAGTAAACGGATAAAAAGTCAAAGGACATTAAGTCAACAGACAAAAAGTCAACATCGCAAGAAGTCAAAGGACAAAATGTCAAATGAACAAAAAGTCAACCTGCCAAAAAGTCAACACGCCAGAAGTCAACAAGCTAAAAGTCAACACGCAAGAAGTCAAAAGACATAATGTCGAAGAGACAAAAAGCCGACATGTCAAAAAGTCAACGCGCTAAAAGTCAACAGGCTAAAAGTCAACACGCATAAAGTCAACACGCAAAATGTCAATGCGCAAAAAGTCAACACGCAAAAAGTCAAGACGCTAAAAGTCAACACGCCTAAAAGTCAACACGCTAAAAGTCAACACGCTAAAAGTCAACACGCTAAAAGTCAACACGCTTAAAGTCAACAGGCTAAAAGTCAACATGCTTAAAAGTCAACACGCTAAAAGTCAACAGACCAAAAGTCAATACACGAAAAGTCAACATACTTAAAGGGACCCTCCCACCTTAAAAAAAGTTAATGAATTGGCATAAAAGTGGTGTACCGTGAATCAGAAAGAGCGAAAATGAGCATCTACCAAATTTCACCGAAAAATATTCACCCGTTTTTGAAATATAAGACTTTTATTTTATAACGCGCGGTCAATGGGCTTGATGACGTCATCAGAGTCCGTTAGTGTTAAGAGATAGGGACTACGCTGGTCCCACCCTGCAAGTAAAGGGAAGAAATTTCTTGAACACTATAAAGCTGCGGGGGTTGCGACCAGGATAAATGGTGGTTTCTGAGCCTGGCCGCAAACTTGGCTATCTCAACTCAAAACTAATGTTAAGGTGGGAGGGTCCCTTTAAAGTCAACACGCTAAAAGTCAACACGCGAAAGGTCAACATGCTAAAAGTCAACACACTAAAAGTCAACATGCTTAAAAGTCAACACGCTAAAAGTCAACACGCTAAAAGTCAACACGCTAAAAGTCAACACACAAAAAGTCAACAAGCAAAAAGTAAACACGCAAATAATTAATAGGTGCGCAAAAAGTAGTCAACAGCAAAAAGTAGTCCTTAACAGCAGTCCTTAACTTAAGTCGGTACAAGTACTCCGCAGCCCGCGTCTCCGGTCGGCGACTGACCCACCCCGGGCCACCTGATCCCCGGCCGCCACCCGTTGGGCGCCGGCTGCACCGCATAGCGCGTCTCGGCGCGTCCCCGTGCGCGCCCCGACCCTACAGATAAGAACGCTCCTACCTATTTTAAATTTGCTTTATAAAGTATATTGGGAATGTGAACTTATCTATATAAAGTTGGCGTAATGTGCCTGCTGGTGGCAGGGGGGGGGGGGGCAGTTCCGTTAAGGATACGTAGGGCGGAGGCGAAGATGAAGGAGAGAGGCAGTAACTGGTGGCCACAATGCGCTATACTTGTCACCTCTCTTTGGAAGTCACAGCTTCGAGGTCCTAAGAAAATTGTGTTTTTAGCAATCGCATCTCGATCAGTGGCGCGGAAACTTCTTCCAGACTGAGGGGGGGGGGCGAACCATAATGGAGATAAACCTAGGTTACCCCCAAATCTAGTTTTCTCATCGGTTTTAGGCCACTTAGTTTTCAGACCTTGGCCTTTTCAACGAAACAAAAACGAAAATCTTTGCAAAAAAGTGAGATATTCCGTCTCAGCTGAGTGAAGAAACTGCCGTTTTGGCAACCTGGAATAAAGGTTTTAATCTGCCAAATGAGTTGCGGAGACAGTGAAAGAGGTTGATTTTTCACTTTCATGCTTTCTTCCGTTATATTGTGACCCACGTTTTTGGGGAGGACAAGCTGACCAACAGTTCCTGGCCTCATGAAAAGTTGTGGGGCACCGCCCCCACGGCCGCAGAGCTGTGGGGGCAAGCTTCCCCCACTGCCCCCTCCCCCAGTTCCCGCGCCTATGTATGAATCTATGAAATTATGTTGGTAGATTTCCGATTTCGATTCCTCCAGCAGGGGGAAGTGTGAAATCGCTTATAGAACCCGTGACGGAATCAATTGATGAGAAACGTCTCCCTACACAATTAGGAAATTTGAAACAACCGAACCTTTCGTATCGATACAGCAAAACGACAACTGATATCTCTCATGCTGGGCGACAGACGGCGTGGGCCGTGGCGTCAGGGAGAGTGACGGGCGGGTTGTGACGATTTTTAGCTTGAGAACCAGACGTCACAGCGAAATGGGATCAGAACTGGTGGATGCAGAATACTTTGGCGATTCCAAAAAGTATACACATGCATGTAAACAACACGACGAATCTCCCGTTACACGGTGCAGAATTATGCCCGGCCGCCTGACGTGGGAATTCCCTGCCTGAGCGGCGGCGGCGGCCGAGACGCATTGGAAATTGGAATGCGATCCGAGCTCGACGTAGGGGTGAGGGGGTGAGGGCGGGGAAAGTGTAAACGCCACGAGATAAAACATGAGAACGAAAAGTCGCATCGAGATGGGACGAAGACTGATGGATGTAGAATGACACGACGATTTCAAAAAGTATAAACATGCATATAATCCATGGAATAGATCTGCCGCTGCCGCACCCGGCGAAATAATGGCGGCGGCCAGACGCTCAACGTTCCCACGCTTCGAGATCCCGCTCTGGGGGCAGGCAAGGCAGAGACACAGAAGATGGCCGGAAACGGGAGACGGTGGCGGGTGGGGTGGGGGTGGGTGGGTGCGACATGGGTCATGCAGTTGCCGTTCAGTCGGCCGGCCGGCAGTGACAGCGGTGGGCGTGGGCTGACCCACTGGTCAGTACTCAGCCGACTAAGCGGGCGCGCAGGAGGAAGGCGTGTGGTGACTGAGCGGCCGGTCGTGGAGAGAGGTGGTGGAGAGTGAGGTGAGTGTTACTTGCTAATGTACTTTTGGTACTTGCCAAAGTATTTCGATTCATTTGCCAAGCAATTGAAACTTACTTTAGTACTTATTACTTGCCATAGCACTTAATACATGCTTGGTACTTGTTTAACTACGTGGCATGTGGCAAATAAATACTAATTAGTACTCGTCCGTAGCCCATCGTTCTCGCGAATCGGTTTCTGGTTTTCGTGTTCTACCTATAGTTCGCTCTTTTTTTAAGTTTGCCCCTCACTGTAAACGTCTTTTTGAACACAGCACGAGAATTGCGACCTGAATTACTGAGAAAACTGGTTGGCGCACATTAGCCGGGTTCACAACGGCATAAACCTGACCGGGCCAGCTAAGCCCTCTAGAGGGCCAGCGAGGCCCGTTTCAGTAGGAAGAAATCTAGTCTAAACTTAGTTGTGTTCAGTTCCTCCTATATTATTCAAAATAAAAGTGAAATGCAAACAAAATACGCATCAATATTGTGCAAACGAGTGTTTACAGATGAAATCATATTCTAAAATATCATTTTTACTTGATAAATCATAAGGTAAAAAGCGAAAACATTAGCATGTATTTCCTACTATTTGTAAAACTAACTTCAGACTAAATACACCAAATCAGGCAACTTTCCTATTAGAGATGCATAACGAGGTAACTGTTTTGCCGTCTGTAATACCTATAAGGCCAAATTTTGGCGTTCAGATGCGAACAATTCATTAATTCTACTAATAAATGAACGTCGTATAAGCCACGACAACGTCAAATCTCCCGTTATACACGGAAACTCACAATGCACCATTAACACACGGCAACCTGCATCTCTAATCTTCGTTCAGCATGCTTGGCTGTGACTTCTAGGGACTGGGGTCCGTATGGCTGTGCTGGGACCTCAAACATGGATCGAAAACTGAGGTCCCTGGACTACTGCGGGCCTTTGGCTACTGGTGGATGAAGGAGAATGCAGAATTATCCTCTGAATATACCCCATTTCTAAGCAGTGTAACACGTGGAATGAATTGAAGAGTACCTACCACCTGATCTGAGCAGCGAAGTTTGTTGCTGCTCCCCCAACCTCAGCTAGATCTTGACCCTGGCAAGTCGGCTGGTGCTCTTTGCTGGCCCCAGTTTGGTTTGAAAGCATACATGTCCAAATGATTTTCATGAACCCTTTTCAGCTGAGTGACTCCAACTGCCATGTGCTCTAATTGAATATCTTAAAAAGTAAGCTGTTGGGTCCTGACCTTTCCATCTTGTTTCTCACCTTACATGTACACATGCACCAAACATGTAGATATAATTAATCAAGTTCTATATATTTTTTCTGAAATTGCACAAGCAACAATTAACCATAGGCACTGCTAGCAAATAATACTAGTGCTAAACAACATGCAACACTCTGCAGGCAAATGTTTCCACTAATCCAACCAGCTCACAACCCATCCTTGGAACATGAACACAGTACAAACAGGAAGAAAATTGAAGAAACTTAAACCTTTTGAAAAATTAGCAGACTAGGGATGAATCTGAATTTAAGCAAAGTTGCTTCAACACTTCGCACAACTATGCACAAAGTCCAACACAGCACATACCATAAGCATTGCCAGCAGTGCTTAACGACATGCAACACTTTGTAGGCAAATGTTTCCACTAATCCAACCAACTCGCAATCCATCCTTGCAACGTGGACACAGTACAATTGGGAAGAAAATTTAAGAACTTTTTTTTTTAGAAATTAGGAGAGCAGGGATGAATCTAAATTCAAGCCAAGTTACTTCACCACTTCGCACAACTATGCACAAAGTCCAACATATCCATTCACTGATCACTCTATAGTAGTTCACTTCCCAAACTCATGGCTTGATGCATTTAATGAACATGCTATTTCCTGTAATTATGTCAATTGAAGAGTCTTAAATCAAAATAAAAAAGAAAACAATGTTTTGAACAATCTTGCAGACATTTCTGTTGAAGGATTATTCTTCACCACTCTCCAGCCTGGAATAGAAGAAGACAAAAATACTTGTTGATGCATAATAATATAAATACAGACAACACACAATTTAATACTTTTTCAAGCCAGAAACTAACCTGCAACAGATGTCCAACAAAGGGAAATACACTTACGCATCTACTGCATTTTAAGAGTCCACAAACCACAGGCGAGTTCAGAAAGATGGAACAAGAACAGCATAATCAATCTACAAAAGTTCTTCTTTATCATTTTCCTACATTGATATGCAGTTTCCTTAATCTAAATCAGATTTCAGAGCAAGATGCTGGACACAGCGGTATCGGTTACGCTGGCGTCACGGTCAGCAATAGGAAGGCAGGTAGGTAGGTAAGGTGTAGGTATGTAGGTTGGTAGGTTGTAAGTTTGTAGGTAAGGTTAGGTCAGGTTAGATTATGTTTTATTATACCCAGTATAAAATATAAATTAAATTGACACATTCGCCGGCTAGCGTCGACAGAGACGCCAGCTTTACCAATACCGCCACAGTCTGCACACAAATACCTATATGTATTTTTAATAGAATAAACAGCCTATTTCATTTCATTCAATAGGTAATACAGAACTGCAGCAATATTATTGAATGCATATAAGCACCCAGTATTTCCATGCACTGGCATTACATGGAAATTAGAGACAAGTATAAATATATTGCATATTTACCAGTAAAACGCCTTTTGGGCGACCAACGGAGCGAGCGAGAGGATGGGCCTTGCACGTGCGAAATTGCGAGGGGGTACCTCCAACTAACTTGTGCACTGCACCCTACTAACCGGTCTTTAGCGATGTGCCAAATTTCAGCGCAATCGGCCTAGCCGTTCTCGAGATCTGGAAGCGGCACACTGCACGTGCGCACGTGCAAGCGGGGTCCAAACTGACTTTTGCACGGCACCCTACTAACTGGTCCCCAACCGTGTACCAAATTTGAGCGCTATCGGCCCAGCCGTTCTCGAGATCTGGGAGCGCCCCTGCACGTGCGCACGTGCTGTAGCACCCCAACCTTAACACATGCAGATGAATTATCTGATGGAGACCTAACTGTGTACCGAGTTTCAATTCAATCGGCCCAACCGTTGTGCCGTTATTGAGGTTGCAATTTTGGGGGTTCTTAAAAAATGTCCAACTTTACCACGCGCCACGTGCGGTGGTTGGCAAGAACGCATGGTGGCCATCACACCACAGAACTTTTACGTCCAAGTGACATTCAGTAAAGAAGACCGCTTGTCAATCGGATGTCTCGTTCCTAAGATATTAGCTTTTGAAGAGCGTCCCCACGGCCGGCCGGCCGGCCGGCCGCTCATACTCAGGATTTTCCCTTAATTCAGTATGAGACTCCGCTCGCTTCGCTCGCTCCGTAATAAATGCCTTATCAGGTAGAAATTTAGCAGGGAAAAAATCAAAACGAAAGAGCAAGAAAGTAGGTAAGTAAGAGCAGCCAGCAAGCAAACGAACCAGCACATTCATTAAAAACATAAATTCATAACATCTACCTTAGCCACAGACCGTCAAAATACAAAAACAGCTTTAAAAACGTTCCATAATTACCTATCTCCCTCCTCTTGACAATAAAATTGTCCTAGATGCGATATACGCGCATGCGCCCAGGTTCTCATTTCGAGGCCGGTAGCCCACCGTAGGTGACAAATTCAGCGAAAAGGTGCTGAGTCAGTAAATCAGCGTGACATCTGCATATTTTTTTCTCCGTGGAAATTCGCAGTGGGCCAGCCTGGCCATCTCCGCGGCAGGTGGCTTAGCTGGCCCACTCCGATGCCAGGTAAAGGCAGGCTCACATCGGCGCATAGCTGCTGAGGAAATATTGTTTGTAAGTGAGTATTATAGGCTTTTTTGGATTGAATGACTTTTTATTCGTCATAAAAATCGAAGTAGGGCATTTAATTACTGGTAACCATTTATCGCAGGCGTGTGTAGTGAGACGTTGGGTAGGCATGTGGAGTGTGGTGTGAACCGCATGTTAGCCCACTACCGGGCCTCGCTGGCCCGCTCCGATTTGTGTCGTTGTGTACCCGGCTATTGATTTCACCAGATTTCACAGGCGATCAGTTTCATCAAATTTACTTATTATTTCACAGACTCATAGCTCGTATCTGCCCATACCTACAGCCCCACAGTGATAGACGACTTCTCAAGAATTATGTCCGAACTAATAAACAAATTGCACGGCGTTTAACATTAACGTTACATCGTTGGTGTTCAAAACTGATTTTGAGAATATTATTCATATCTCCAATACAATGTGCGCCAACCAGTTTTCTCAGTAATTCAGCTAGCAATTCTCGTGCTGTGTTCAAAAAGACGTTACAGTGAGGGGCAAACTAAAAAAAAACGAACTCTAATCGTTTAAGTATTTATCGCATGGCTAAATTGGATTGGCCATACAAATTGGGATGGATTTGATGTCTGTCCCCTGTCGGTCGGACATCTAGAAGCCAAGATAATCGCGAATAACTTGCTTGTGACGTCACGGCGACTTTTTAAAAATAGCGATATTTTTATTTCAGTGTTATATCTCGGATATTTAATCTGCTACTCCACTCTCCACAGCCAATTGCCTACAACAATTTGCAAATAAGTGCCACAATGTATTAGTATTGGCACTTAAAACCTGTGACGTTTCCGCCTCTTCCGAAGCTCCAAATGCTATTTCATCGCTTTTTAAAATGAAACGATCTGAGCGAATGACGAGGCAATGTGGCAATTTGGACCTTGCCATCCCTAAAACCGAATACAAAAAAGCATCCTTATCGTATCACGGTTGTAAGATATGGAATGGGTTACCTCCACAATGCTCTATCGCCGAGTTTAGCAAATACCTTAAAAGTAAAGCGGATGCTGGCGAATTAAGCGGTTAGGAATGTAGCACGGCGATGCGTCTTATTCGAATGTGTATACCTATTGTGAAGTTGTGCATAAGTGTGAATTCAGTCCCACGCACAAGGGGGAAAAGCTCAAATTATTGAGCGCTCAAAATATTGAGCGTGTGACGTCAGAGGCTCCCATAGGCGTAATGCTGAGGGCTCAAAAAATTGAGCCGTTTCAGGAACACGTTTTGCAAAAGCAACTCGCAACACCTAGGGAGAAATGGCAACACCCTAGGAGAATCACTAATGATGCAAAACAGATTAGGCTTTCATATTTTTCACTGCTCAAGCTTCAATGATTGGGGGAACACCAATTTATAGGTCGAAATCTTACGGCATACCAGGATGACTTAAAAACAGGCCAATATTTATGTCGAAATAAAAGTTAATTTTTGTCAATTCACGTTTTTTACTAGGGTTCTGTTGGAAAGAGCATTTTTCATACTACCCAAAATGATTGCGATTCAATTTCACATTACCCATATCGGAGAATATTTTTCATTTGGCGGCGCCGTTTGTTTATTTCGTCGCGACGTCTCCGGTCGCGTGGTTGTCGTCGTCCTTGTGTTGAGGGTAAGTTTTTATCGTTTTAGTTGTACTTAGATGTTAAAAGGTACACTGAAAAGTTTGAATATGCTGTGATTTTAAATTTGGAAACACATAAACGTCAGTCAATTCACGTTTTCCTCGATTTGCGTGCAGATAAGTAACTGTCGACGAAAGTGGCGCCATCCGATATGATGTTTTGAAGGAAGGAGACACAACATATTTACGTGAAAATTTTTGTTTTTTAGTGGTCTAAGTGCTTCAAAGAGGCTGTGAATGTTTTCTTCACACAATTTTTCATTAGTTATGATGAGGTAAAAGGTAGTTTCAGTCTTAACTTTCATATAAGCCATTCGGCCGCAAAAAGTACGACCATGTATCGGACCTGCTGGATAACTTGGGCTGGCTCAGCGCTGAGCAGCTTGCTCAGTATCACTCTCTGTGCCTGCTGCACAAGGTGCGGCGATCAGGCGAGCCAGAAACCCTGGCTGCCCAGCTGGTGCAGGTATCGCAGACGCGGCAGCGATCCACCAGACAGGACCGCAATCTGTCAGTCCCACGATCGCGGTCAGCGATGGGGCAGCGCCGGTTCTGCTGCCGGGCGCCCCTCGCCTACAACCAGCTCCCGTCAGAACTGACGCGTCTACCGGCCCACCTATTTGGTCGGCACCTCCAATCCCACCTACGGGGAGGCGAGGTGACTTAGACAGCGGCCATGAGTCTGTATGAGTGCATGTGTATGTTTGTTTGTGTGTACGGGCTTTGAGCGTATTTATCACGTTATTTTATGTTATGTCTCCCATGCAGAGTTTTAGCCCTGTACGAGCGGCCGTAATAGCCACGAGTGTATCGTGGATGGCTTCAATACACGTCTATGTCTATGTCTATGTCTATAAATGACATTAAAACATATGATAGTCCACTGCTATCAGTGATTGAGTACCTTGATATTTGGTATTTCTTATTAATTTGAATGTATTCTCTATCCATATGTCCTGATAGTAAGTGACAATACTCTGCCAAAATGTTTCCATAGTTTTCACATTCATTTTCCAGTCCTTTACATCACATCACAATTTATAATCAACAAAACTCAACTCCTTCATTACCTACTTCACAACACTGACAGCATGACAGACTGACAGTCAACTATTGTGTGGGTGAATGCTGAAACAGGATAGCCACTTTGCTGACTGGCTCGCTCATATGAAATAAGATAAAAATGATCCTTTATATCATTCCATCTGGAGGATCGGAGTCAACGGAAAAGGAAGGCCACTTTCAAGCCTCAAGGTCTAGGCCGCCAGACGCCAGTCGGCAGTCACCACCAAATTTATAATCGATTAATTCATTATTATACTTTGAGACCCTTAGGTCACTGGATCAGCATCACATTTTCAGTTTCAATATAGTAAAGGTTTTTATTTGTATGATGTGAAATATTTTCCTGAATCAGAATTTAATTATCCCTAGGTACCGGGTAGAGGTTTTGGATTTAATGCTCATTGTTGGTGTGCAGTCAGGATTTTTTTTGACAGGTCCAGATAGGGAATCCTGAGCAATTTTATAGTAAAGTGGTCTCCTTAAAATCACCACACATTTTATCAAAAGCATTTGCAGAATTCATTCAATGAAGAATTTTATCAATCTATATTACTATTTGAGGAGGGTGCGTCTGTCCGTTACCGAGGTCCCGACTTGGTCGTGCTTTGCGTGGACTACAGGCCAGACCGTTGCACCTAGCCCGGTGAAATTTGCACAACTTATAGATCAAGGATGCGCGACGTGCCTTTGAGGGGTCTCAGCTCGATCGGATTGATAGGGAGCGCGTGGCGCGTGCTCAAAAAGTGCAAATTCGCGTCATAGACTTTACATGTATAAATCGGCGTGCGAAATCGGGCGAAAACGGCTAATTTTGGCAAACACGGGTCCAGTTCCCGTGCAATATCTTGGTGACCAGGGGTCCGACCGGCACGGGGAAAACAGCATCGTGTACAGAATTGAACGGGCTATTGAATGGTGTGCAATGCAGAGGATAGCACGCGCCACGTGCACCGGAGAGGGCACTTTTATTTGAAAAATGCGGTTTTTGAGGGATTTTGGAATTAATTTTATTTTTAGGTGACCGTTAAATGGAGCGAGTTGAATCAACGCCTATTTGCAAGAGAAAGGTACCGCCTCTCATATAAAAATTGTGAAAAGCTGATTGATCCAAATCAAGGTGGTGCAAATCACAGGAGAAAATGGTGTTTGTCAATTTTGTGCCACTTTATTAATCACACGGGGTTTGCTGCATAACCTGATACCTTTGGCAATTGAGTATGGTACCATTGGATAGAGCATTCAATTCTGTCCAATATTCACTCTTCATTTTCGCATGATTAGCAACAGTTTCCTTAAAAATGTAAATGTTCCAAACCATTACATTGTCATTTTTAGCGAAATTCATCGATGGCCCTCAAAAGACTTCACGCCAGTTTTCGAATCATTCTAAAGTAGAACGCATGATAATACGACACGGGCACCTCGATGCGATGTATCTTTTTGTTTTATTACAAAATGCTTGGCCGTCAAAAAGCAATCGAACGAAATGGATATCTACCAACCAAATCGACACAGACCAACCCAATACCCACGGGTCAAAAAATCCCCCCTTGGCGTTGCGGAGCACGCGGGTAACCCTAGTGTTGCACCCATTTCTTAGACGACCTAGGCTGCATCTTTTTTTAGTTCCTGTTGTATGACATATTTTCCGTTTTGTTCCACTGCATAAAGAAAAAAATCGTTTGAGATCACCAAACAGCTTTTCTTTTTCTGGCAGGTCTGCACAACCAAGCGGTCGCTGGCGAAGACGTCGGCCGTCTCTGTGGGTAAGGTCATCTGCTCAGCCTTTGTGGAGATCAGCAAGACGTCACTAAGATGAAGACTTCGCTGGCGCAGAAGCCGCTGACCCGTGTCCGATCGGGCAGGTCATGCTCGACGGCACGAGCCACAACTCGAACGACTCGGTGACATCAACAACATGGTGGAGCAGGTGAATGAGTTTGGCGACGTGTTGTGCGACTGCAAGAAGGGTTGTCTGCGTGTTCTGGCCGGCGGAGCGGCGACGCTGCGCAGTCTGTGCTGGCGGTGAGCAGCTGGCCGTGGTGACCGCGCGCGCCCACATGCGCCGACAGCCTGTGCGGCTTCGACGGCCCGGGACAGCCCGATGCCGCCCACTATGCGACGCCGACCGCGCACTGTCCGCACGGCCACATGGAGGTGTGCCCGCGCCTTTTGCCCGCACGCCGCTACCTCGCAGCTGGTCTGCAACCACGCCGTCGCCGCCTGTAGCCCGATAACAAAACGGCTGTCTGATAATGCCGCGTGTTCTTTGTGATGTTGCTACTGTGATCGTTGCTACTGCTGGTCTGAGACTCGATGTTTCCATTCGTCTTTTACATGTTAAGGATTTGATAATGATAAGCTTAGTCCGAGCTTAGGTCGTTTATATCATTTGTTATATGGCATATTTTGGATCAAAGCAATACGACACTGCCTCCTGCTTTTGTGATGTATGCTGGCAAGACGCAGGTTCCGGTCGCAGGTCACCCGGACCCGGTTCCAATGTGGTCGGGCTGGCATGCGATAATGTGATGTTGTTTTGCTCGTCTCTGTGTTCCACACTTGATGATGTTTGTGAATCTAACCCACATTGTATAGTATTTTTGTTTGTTTGCGGCCGATGGCCTCAGGCCTTGTAAGTTGTAACCGTGGCAATGGGTTTGTGAAAAGTTTAGGTACCACGTAGCATTCAACTTCCTGCATTTCTGTTTCAACTCAGTTTAACGTATTTCAACAAACATAACATCAAAAATGGCAGCCAGTACCGGCTTCACCTGTCGCGGAGAACGCTCAAAAAATTGAGTGTAGATGCTGGCCGGCACTCAATTTTTTGAGCGCCAGCTGACTGTCGTCTGTCGTGGCGCTCAATTTATTGAGTATCGCGGTCCCGAACGACTAGTGGCGCTCAAAAAGTTGAGCGTCTTTAGGGCATCTTCTTTCCAAAAACACCGATATAAATTATCACGGCGAGTGTTCGAGAAGAAACCTTGTTGCTCTCTCTTGCCATTGATACCTTATTTGGATACGATATTTGCCGTAGTGTGACGCTAAAGGCATTGTAAAATACCATCGTTTCGCCTATTCCTTCATAATGGGGCCCGCTCAATTTTTTGAGCGCTCAATTTTTTGAGCTTTTCCCCCTTGTGCGTGGGACTGAATTGCAAATGTTAACAATCTTGTATGATATGTGCGAGCGGTGCGAGGCTGCGTTATCTGTGCTTTTGCAAGTTCCCGTCGTAATGCCCACTTGTTTGTGGTTGTCGGGTGAACCGAAAAATAAATAAATAAATAAATAAATTAGATATGTACATTTTAATTTTCTTCCGTTTCGGAGGTGCGCTCGTGCGTTTAAATTTGTGGCGCTTGCCTATTATCTATTCTTTTCTCTATTTATTCGTTCGCTCGCTTAAGTAGCGCCTACCTGTTCTAACGTCTAATTCATAGTCGTTCCCTGTCACCACTCCGCGGCCCGCACTGCCCTTCCTTGATGCTAATCGGCGGCCGGTTGGTGGGATTCGCGGCGCAGTCGGCCAGCTGCCGCCCCGGCGCCGCGTGACCGGCGCAGTCGGCCGCGAGCCGGGCAGGGGAAACCCCGCCGTCGTCGGCCACCTGCTCGCTCAGGCGCCGGCCCGGGGAGTCCCCGACCCCGCATTCCCGTGTCCTCCCACAGGAGCGAGTCAAAATCTATAATTAAGACCCATTTGCGCTTCATGACCTACAAACTTAACCCTATTCCTGGCGGGCTCCGCCGGGACAAGAAACTGGCGGGGGGGGGGCCGATTCGGCCCCCCCCCCTGAGATCTCGAGAACGAAGCAAGATAGCGACAAGCGGTAAACGGCATCGGATACGCATGGACAAGGTCTACAATTTTTACAAAGGTCATTTTCAGGTCAGGTCAAAGATGACGTCACAGGGGTCGAAAAAGTCAAAATGGCGGCGCTAGATATGGAGTTTTTCTCGAATAACTTTCGAATTAGTCAAGATAGGAACAAACTAAGGGCATCATCGTGATCCTCTCGTCAATCCGCATCAATTGATATATATATGTTGACCTCGAAAGGTCAAGGTCAAAGGTTGACCTCAGGTCACGTGACCTCGAGGTCATCATGTATATCATTCGATGCGTCTTGACGAGCTGAACACAATGAGACCATCCACGCGTCTGTATCTTGTTCCTGTACGGAGTTATTGGCCAAAAACCTTTGGTGACCTTTGATGACGTCACATGACCTCACAGCTGCCCAACAGCAAAACAGACCTCAAGGTAGTGAAGGTTGATCGTATATGAAGTCATGTATGGTATATGGGGCCATTCCGACCCGTTTTAGTGGTAAAAACAGGGAGTTGATTTTTCCCCCATTGACTTATAATGGGGAGGTCGCGAAACTGACCTGACCTTAGGTCACCGATATCAAAATTCCGAGATATACAAATTGCACATGCTGGTACCCTAACTAAAGCCTGAAGAGAAGAAATTGATCGGTCAAAAACTCTAGCTCTGGCGTGATTGCAAACTTTTCTGAGGTAGGGTCACCAAACCGCCTCTGGTGACCTGACCTGAGGTCAGATCAACTCAAAATTTTCAGACATGTTGCGTAGAAGCCTTTTAGGAAAAGTCAGAAAATTTGAGCTTCCTAGCTCAACGCGTTTGGGAGAAATAACCAAAAAACCTCAGGGGGGGCTCCTGAGGCCCCCCCCCGCCAGGAATAGGGTTAACCTGCCTACCATTGGCATTGAGCTCACCCAATGTCACACGAGGTCAGATTTTTTTTTATGAAAACTTTTTACAGAATTAATAATACATCCTTACGTTATAATAATAAATGGTGTTCCGTTTTGTTGCAGTTCTCTGTCATCCGTCGCGTCCTGAGATGGAGGTCATAGAGGGTACGAAGAAGAGAAGAATCAGCCATGAGGGATACTTCTACACGCAAGATAGCGCCAGGGGTGACACGATTTACATGAAGTGCAGCCAGAAAACGTCGAAAAGCTGCAAGGGAAGAGCGGTGGTGGAAAACGGCGTGGTCACCCCAACAAAAAGCCACTCACATGCGCCAAATCCTTCTATCATAGAACGGGCAAAGGCGAGGGCTGAGATGAAGAAGCGTGCAATGGAAACAGTTGAGCCTATTTCAGTTATATGTGTCGAGGCTGAGATGGGCATGAGTCGCGCAGCACGTACAGACATGCCGAAGGCAGCTGACAGCAGGCGAAACGTCAGGCGCTATCGCACCCAAGCGCACGGTACTCCTGCCCAGCCTCTGACGGCAGATGAGTTGGAGCTGAGAGAAGACGATTGCTTCACGATTGGACGACCAGGATGCCCGCCAGAGAACTTTTTGATCTACGACAGCAGAGACGAACCAGGACCACGCATGCTCATTTTTGCTAGTGACTGGGGTCTCCGTAACCTATCGCAGTCCCCCCACTGGGGAGCAGATGGCACGTTTCAGGTGGCTCCTGGTATCTTCACGCAGCTATACACAGTACATGCCACAGTCCACGACAGGATCGTTCCCTGCGCGTACGCGCTGCTGCCGAACAAGTCCCGTAACACATACGTGAGGATGTTTCTGGCGCTCCGCGAGAGGCTTCTGCTGAGATACCCCGGCACTGACCTGACAGGAACGGTCATCACAGATTTGGAGATGGCGGCGCTGCAGGCGTTTGAAGAAGTGTTCCCCGAAAAGGAACGGTCGCTATGCTTTTTTCACTTCAGCCAGGCGGTGTGGCGCAAGACACAAGAGCTCGGCCTCGCACGTCTGTACGCAACAGATGCTGACTTCGCTCTTATGGTGGGATACCTTCATTTTAGCTTTCTGACATCAACTTTGTTCATGATCTCTCAACACACCCCCTCACCTCGCTCGTTTTCTTCATTAACCCTCACCGGCACAGGCCATTTTGCGTCCTTCGACGGCACAAGGGGGGGGGGGTTGGTATGACCCCCCTCGCGTTTGACCCCTGATCGAGCTAGATTCTCAGATTCTCAGATTTATTTGTGCATTACCTCATTTAGAGCTTCGCGGAAAAAAAACGAGCGTGTTGCCCGTCACGAGAGGAAGCCTATGACATCCAATTTTAAGGTCCTAGGTCATCGGGTGACCTTCCAGGTCAGGTCAATGACCCGAAAATCGGGAAAATCGGGACCTGTTAGAATGTCGTAAAGTGTGGCTGCTATGAGGTTTTCCGTGGTGCTGATCACGAATATCGTGTTGTTTTTGATCAGAGATGATGTCTTTAAGCATTTAGATCAGGTCGGGTCAGGTCAGGTCAGGTCAACCGGTAGGGGTCGTGACGGGTATTCGTAATACGTGCCAACCGCCCCTAACAGCTTCGTAACATGTTACGAAGCCACCAAAACTACTTCATAAACGTTCAAATGGTTGCTAAATTCGAAATCAGCTCCAAAAACTAGCTTAAAAACATATAAAACTGGAAAAAGTGAGCCGAGGTCACCAAAGGTCAATGACCTGACCTGACCTTCAGGTGACCTTGACATCCACTCTAATGCATGGGAGCAACATCAAATCACATGTTTGAACGTTTTTAAACCACGAAAAGCTTGCAAACGCGCGGCTAATGCGAGCCGACATACGCCGAGTCGCGATTCCGGCCAAACATGGTCTCGGAAAGTAGGTCACAGGTCAAAGGTCATTTGGGTCAGGGTCATGAAATTTTCAGGGTAGGTGTAAAATTGATCAATGCGAGGGTACTTAAAGTTTCGTTGCGATCGGCCGCTTTTTACGCGAATTATTTGCGAAAAACCTTAGGGGGGTTGCATCACCCCCCTGTGCCGGCGAGGGTTAAAATGATTTTGCAATGCATATGACGTTGACATTGATTGACATTGATAAATCTAAATAAAATTCCATGTGCACAGTTATGATAGAAAATGACGTCATTAGGCTTATTTTTGCTCGTCTCGTGATTTCTCATGCGAAGTCTATTTTAGCTAAATTTATCCTGATCGTCAGCTTAATCGATCTGGTTTTAACCTGACATTGAATTCGTTATGAAAACGTTAACATTACTGCTCCACATGGTAGTTTTTTTTTTAGAACTATCAGTATCTTGTTTACTATGGTAAAAAAACATAAATGTCAGCAAAGTGAATGTAAAATGAGGCCGCAAGACAAGTTAGTGCATTCGTGCTTCTGAACATTGTCTTACCTTCAGGTCCGCACCATCCCTGCGCTCGCATTCCTGCCGGCCGCTGAAGTCCCGGACAGTTTCATGTTCCTGCTGGGGATCCTACCACCAGAAACTCTACCATTGACAGCATACTTCAACGCCACATACGTCGGAGATGCTGATGAGGGGCGTCGAGCAACATTCAAGCCGGAACTATGGAATCAGCACGATAGAACGGCGGCGGGACTGGCAAGAACGACGAACAACATCGAAGGCTGGCACAGGAGGTTTAGGGGTGTGGTGGACTGTGCGAGTCCCAACATCTACCGCCTCCTGCAACGGCTGCGTCAGGAGGAGGACCACTGGCGGGGTGAGATTGACCGGGTGGTGGCCGGGGCGCTCCCGCGCAACCAAAAGCCCCAGTGGGCCAAGCTGGCCGAGAGGCTGACGAGGCTGGTGGACCGAAGGGACGGAGGGCACTTGACAACACTTGAGTTTCTGCGGGCTGTCGCTCACAACTACACAATGTAAGCTGAGTGGCAGCGTGGTGCAGACTGCAGAGTGATAAGCGTGGGTGTTTTCATCGAAGTTGTGATACAGTACATGCGCTTGCACCCCGATTCTGATATGGGCATTGCCGTTGTCAATGCATTCCGTTAAAAAAGTGCATGATGCACTTCATCGCAGCCAAGATTAAAACTTTTGTTGTGCCAACGCGAGGCACTGGGAGCAGCTCCCAAAGACTACGTGCCTACTGTTCTGTTCGTGTCATTGTTCGCCCGACACTGTTATCGGCAAAATGTGTTTTAATAATACATGGTTTTGTGTGTTAATCTCTGTATATAACGTTTTCTAATTTTTATTTATTGATTTGCTTATTTCATTAATTTTTATGGCAGCAATGGCATCGACAGTATAGTAAAGTAAAATATATAGGTCATTGATTTTTTAACCCTCGTCCTGGCAGGGCATTTTTCATAACACGGCCTGGCAGGGGGGGGGGGTTGATGCGACCCCCCTCGCGATTGGCTCCTATGGCACCTAGAAACACCAAATTTGGCCGGTAGGTGGGCCCCCTGGAGTTCTCGCTCCTGTGCAAATTTGGTTGCTCTAGATCAATATTTAGGGGGGTTTTGAGGGGGTATAAATGTAAAAATTTTGCTAAAAACAGGTCAAAAGTTTTTCGCATATAACTTTTGATCTAATTAAGATAGAGAAAAAGAAAGGCACCAGTGAACTCAGCACGTCAAGGCGCGTCGAATGATGTACTTTTTTGCTTGCTTAAGTATACTTTAAGTTTTTCTTAATTTTCAAGTAAACTTAAATTAATTAACTAAGTTCAAGTTAACCAAATTGCATCATATCGCATATCATTCGATTCGGCTGATCACCAGGAACACAATGACGCCATTTTTGAAGCTCTAGCGTCATTATGTGCCAAGTTATCGGCAAAAACGTCATTTGACCTCAGTTGACCTCATTTGACCTGACCCATGGATAAGTACACCAAACAAAGGAGCACCAAGTGACCTGCTGTTAATTACTATGGTTTCAAAGCACAAAAGTGATAGAACGAAGCGGATATCTCTAGTATTTTCCGAATTTAGTATTTTCCCATAGGCTTAACATTACGACGTAATGACCTCTAATTGACCTCAGGTCAGTGACCTCAAAAAACCCGAACTATATGTTATACAACTCGGTGAACTTAGCACATCCTGAAAGTTTGAAGGAAATCAGTCCAAAACTGTGAGTTGGACAGGTGCAAAAAGAAAATTGAAATTTAACCATGACCTTGTACCGGTTTTTCTGACCTGGTGACCTGACCCAACGTCACCCGGACTTGAAATTTTCAGGTCATTGTAAAAAGGTTGGCCCATAGGCTGTGCCAAATTTGGCGGCGCTGCGCGCCGCCGTTTTTACGCTATCTTCGAAAAACCTTAGGGGGGGGGGTTGCATCAACACCCCCCCCTGCCAGGGCGAGGGTTAATGTACACACGGGAAGCATAAAAACGTAGAAACTACTCCGAGGTTAAAGATGCCCGCCCCAGTAGCTCAGTGGAAGAGCGACCCTCTCCAAGGCCGACCGATAGTGAAAACGCGGCTCGAGCCCTGGTTCGAGCCGTTCAGGTTTTCGCTGTTTGCTCCTGACGTGGGTGGCCTGCGGTCGGTGCCCGGTGGCAGTGGTCGCGTTATACAGGGCAGGCAGATGAGATCAGTGAACGGGGCGGGCCGTGTCTGGCTCTGATGGAGTTTTGAGTTTTTGACTTTTCGTCTTTTGACTTTAGTCCTCTTCACTTTTTGTCCTTTTGACTTTTTGACCTTTTGACTTTTTGTCCTTTTGACGTTTTGAACTTTGACGATATGTCTTTTTGACTTTTTGACCTTTTGACTTTTTGATTTTGACTTTATGTCCTTTTAACCTATTGTCCCTTTTGACTTTTTGGATTTTGACTTTTTGTCCTTTTGACTTTTTATGTTGACTTCATGCCCGGTTGACTTGTTGTTTTTTGACTTTTTGTCCTTTTGACTTTCTGTCCTTTTGGTTTTTTGGATTTTGACTTTATGTCCTGTTCACTTTTTGTCTTTCGACTTTTGTCCTTTTTACTTTTTGGCAATTTGACTTTTTGCCGTTTTTACTTTTTGTCTTTTGACCTTATGTCCATTTGACTTTTTGTCTTTTGACTTCTATGCTAGTTGACTTTTTGTTCGTTGACTTTTTGGCAATTTCACTTTTTATCTTTTGACTTTTAGTCCGTTTTGACTTTTTGTCTTTTGACTTCCCTCTTTGTTGACCTTTTACCTGTTGACTTTTAAGATTTTTGACTTCTTGCTTTTGACGTAATGTCTGTTGACTAATCATCCTTTTACCTTTTAGCATTTGACTTTTTGTCCGGAACCCATCCGACCCCCCCCCCCCCTACACATGCGAGGGTTAATAAAACAGTGCAAAGATACCACCTAAATAAGCAGTGTCAGATCCGTGTTTCGCTGTCGCACTCGCGGCTTCCCCGTGACATTCCTGGGTTTCCCGTCATATTGATCCGTCATCAACACATCCTCATCAAAAATGTGTTTACATTTTACTACGCTATGTATTTACAATTGAAAGAAACCAGGACAGACAAAAGTTTAATTCCCTACGTTAAATCCAGGACAGTATTGTTAAAAATAAAACTGCAATCCTCTTGAAAAGCCATGACAGTTTCATCACTAAATAGTTCCAATCTTTCTCTCCTTGACGCACAAGATCCTATATATCGTCCCCAAATCCTTACTAAAAATCAATGAGAGTTAACAATCAAAACAAATCTGACATTAAATCGCGCGCTTTCCGTTGAGTGTTCTCCCCCCCCCCCCCTTTAGTTTAACGTGTCAATCATCCTAAATCAATATCCTAACTGTACCCAGACCAAAATAGGAAGGAATTTTCTATTCATGTAAGATCAGAGAGAAACATCAGTGGGTCGGAGCTGGGCAAAAGGATAGAAGGTTAGCAGCCCAGCGCCCGACCAGATCCTGGCCAAACCTTGCCTGAGCTGATGGTGAGGCTGCAGGTGGCCAGCGGCTGCTGCTGCTGACATGGCTGACGGTCCAAGGTGGTCGGCCGCCCTGGTCTCCTCCGTCGCTGCTGGGTTGCACACCCCGACTCTTCTTTCAGCGCCGCCCGGTTGACGGGCCGTGCGGCCGGCAGGGCCGGCCGGGCCCCGCCGATGGCCTACCGCTGCTGGTGAGCCCTCCTCCTGTATTGCAGGGCCGTCCGGCCACACGGGCCGTCCGGCCCAGCCGACGTCCTGCCGTCGATGGTCAGCTCTCAGGCCAGACTCCAACTCCCGACTGTCCTCTTCTCTCCCCCTGGCCTCGTTCTCCCTCGGCTCCCCAGTGCAGCTGCTCATGGCTGACAGAGGCGTCTTCAGG